TTTCTGATGAAGGGTCTAGGCCCGAAACGTCAGCCTTTCTGCTCCTATGATGCTGCTTGGCCTGCTGTGTTCATCCAGCTCTGCACCTTGTTGTCTCAGATACCAATGTCACTTCTGTTTCACCTATAATCTTCCATTATCCTGTCGAGAATAGACTTTTGATTCAATTTTTTTGTGAATTTAATCCTTTTATGAAATCATTATGTTTGCCTACAAATTGGCATTTGCTGCCTGGGATGCTGTCTTCATTATATTCAATGTTCATTATGGATTTCATGAATCTTTTTCACTTCTAAGAATCACTTGCACTTGTTTTCTGCCCTTCTGTTTGCAACAATCCGATTCAACCTTTGAACCTGTTAATGCGCAAGATCGCTTTGCGAGTACTACTTGGTTCAGTACACAGGTACCCAAATTGGTGAGCTACAAGGCCGTTTATAAAATGATTGTTCTAACATAACAAAAAGAGCAAATCAAGCATTTTGGTTATTTGCTAAATAGACAGAATTTAGAAACAGCGAAGTTTTTAAGTTTGCACAAAACCTGGTTAGACCAGATGTGGAATACAGTAGACAGTTCTGGTCTTCCATGGTATAAAAAAAAGTTGTGTGCAAAAATAATTTACAACAGTGATACCATAATGGAGGGACTACACCTACCATAAAAGACTAAACAGAATTAAGTTTTTTTTTCCTCTAGAATAGAAGGCTGAAGAATGACTGGGCAGCGGTTTTTAAAATTATGACAGGTTTAAAGAGTTTGATAGGGTCATAGAGCGCAGATGACTTCACTTGTTTGGAAAACCAAAACCAGGGATCATAAAAACAAGATGGTCAGTAATAAATCTTCCTGTGGAGCATAAACTGAATAGCAGAGACCACTCAGGCCAAATGGTTTTTTTCTGCCTGTGTTTAATTTCAGTTGATATATGCCAAAGTATATCTTGATATTGTGTAAATACTATGTGTCTCACTCTATTTTTATACCTGTGTCAGGGAACTGCACCCTGCGTACTGCTGGGCTCAGGTGTTCATTTGGAGACCACGAACCCTAACACACAAGACCCATTTCACTCATTTACTTCCATGAGCCATGGTGATCGAACATCTATTATCTGGCTGGTTACATTTACGGAGTGCAGCCAACAAGGATGAACTGAGCCCCTATACGTGGCTGTACTCTGGTACTGAGAGAGTAAGTAAAGTCCCGTTGACCTACCAGACCTTGGAGCTGCTGTCCCATTAGAGAGTTGTGACAGTGGTTTAACCTGAGGGTCACCATGCCTCAGGTAATGGGAAGAAGGTTGAGAAGAAGAGTCTTTCATGGTGACCTCAGCCAGTGTGGGAATTGGACCCAAGAAGTTGGCACGACTGTCACAAGTCAGCTGTCCAACCAACTGAGCTAGCCAACCCCCCAATACTGTGGGAGAATACCCATTTGCACAGCAGACATCTTTTCAACACTGGGGAATCTCACTGCATGACATCTATATTGCAATCAGGTGGGGGAAAAATACAAAGCATCACTGGAGCGCAGACATTGCAACCAAAGGTAACTTCTTTCAAAATAAAATCAAAGATCTGCAGTAAGAGCACCCTTTCAAGACAGCAGCAACTAGCTTCTACCCTAACTTATTAATACTGAAGGGGCACTAAAACTCTATTGCAAAATGCGTGTAATCCATTCTTTGCACAGAAGCAATTTTGGTATATGAAGAGAAAAGCAACGGACAAGGTTCTACATGTGATGTCACGAGCAGGACAATGCACTAGGGTAGAGGGGTGTGTTTTTTGAGGGGCGTGGTGCATAGGCTGCTACTTACGTTGCATTTAAAACAAAAACCAGAATTAACTTCAATATAATTTTAATAACATATCACCCGTGAGGATTTTAAGTGCTTACAGTTGACAATTTACTTTTAAAATATAAAAAACTACTGGGGTATTGTAATCCGTTTAATTCAGTAATGCCAACTGCGCATTATAGCACAGCAGTGAGAAGAGGTCCCAAGTCAAAATAGCTTTCTGGATGAAGTATGCTGTCACTTTATTCTTTGCCAGCGTGGGTTAGTAATCAGGGGCGATACTTCTGAGTGGCAAACCCCGTCCAGACTGATGGGATAGATATCTCCTCTGCCTGCAGGTTGCAAGGTCTGGTGGGAAGACTTTAATCAGTCCTAACTCATTCCCAATGGGTTCAGCTCAACAACAGTTCAAAAACAGGGATGTTGTGTATACAAACATATATATACAGGCACACATACGCACACATGCATACATATTCATGTTATATCTACATACATTATATATTATATATGGGAAATTTTAAACGTATATGGCTTTGAGATATAAAGCGGGGTATATGATCGATTGGATAGTCCTTTCTCCGAGCTGGCCCAGATAAGATGGGGGAAAATGGCCTCCTTCTGTGCTATGCAATTGTTGGATACATCTCACTGTTCAACAACCTGACAATCACACACTGCTTGATTGCCGGGAAGAGGATTGAAAGAAGCCGAACATAGTTTAAGAAACAACAAACTTTTAATCATGCAGAACATCTCACATATCCAAGATCTTTAGCTATGAGGAGAGTTTGGAGAACTTGGATTGTTTTGTCAGTGCTGGAGGCTGAGGGGCAGCCTGATAGAAATATATAAAACTATGACAGGCACGGATAGAGTGGATAGTTGGGATCTCTTTCACAAGGGTGGAAATGTCAAACACTAGAGGGCACAGATTTAAGAAAAAAGGGGGAAAATTTAAAGGAGATTTGCGAGGAATTTTATTTTTTAGAGGGTAGTAGGTGTCTGGAGCACATTGCCAGGGATGTGGTAGAAGCAGATACAGTAGCAGTTTTAGACAGCGATGTGAACAGGCAGACAATGGAGGGATATGGACCATGTGCAGGCAAGATGGGATTAGTTTAGAATAGAACCATGGTTAGCACAGACATGGTGGGCTGAAGGGCCTGTTCGTGTCCTACTCTGCGCTATCTCAATATTGTATACAATCAAGAAATAACTTCTTGGGAAGAAGGACAATCTGCCTTTGCTTCAAATTTCCGGAGATCTGAGGTGAAATGCCCCTTAGGTCTCTGGCTGTAACTTAAAAATCCAAAGGCTGTTGCTAGACTGTTTTCAAAGCAAAGGTCAGCTTGTCAACAACAGGTATCAAATCCAGCATCTCCAAAAGTTACATGACCTCGTGAAACCAATGAATGAACAGCAAGTGGTTCTACTTTTGACCTTTGGAGTTGTGGGGAAAAAAATACACATTGTCTTTTCTCTACAACACAGCAGTATCCAAGCTTCCATTTTCCTAATTTGTTTTCCAAAAATATATCTAGTCTTTACAACAGAGGAACATTTTGTTTATATTTCGAAGTGTTAACCAAACACACCCTGGATACTTTTGTGTTGTAGCTGCTAGTTGAGGGCATTCTCATTTTAGTCTTAATGTTTTTGATTCAAGTCCCACTCAGATTGTAAGCATGTAAGTGAGTTGAAATTCCAGAAAATTTGAAGTAAAGGTAGGTTTTCCTTCTTCTCACCTCCAGAAAAGTCAAATTTCTAATTCAAGCAAAAACTTAGGTCTAACTGCTTGCTACTGAACTGAGGATATTCTCAGTCTCCAATCGACATCATATCATTATCAAAACCAAAAGAACTGCATGAAAGCCGTTTTATTCCACCAACATTGTCTGTACTCACAATCCACAGAATTTGTTCCGTTTGGCTTACGTTGTTGTCTCATCTGTCCTATTTGTGAAGTAGCATGTGTGTGTTTGCATTTAAAGGGGTTTATAGTTTACGTTTGTGTGTGTTGAGAATTGAGGGTCCCCTTAATCTGTGTTAACACAGCACTCCATATTTAGTATTTTCTGTGTAACGAGACCTCCTCTAATTGTGTCACATCAGTAACTAGCCTTTTGCAAATGTAAACAAATCTCTCTGAAAAAGGAGGAGAGGTTATTAGAATCATCAAAGTGACTCATGCTCCACCCTAGCCAGTATTGAGACCACCCTGATGCTATTCTTTCAAAGCTAGTATTCATGTGATAGCCTGCATAGCAGTACGCAGTTCAAATGGAAGTTAAACTCCCTTGACATTATTTGGTGAAGAGCAAGAAGTTCTGTTTTTATTTGACCTCATATTTTCACACCACTGGAAAAGAATAGTTAACTGCTCATTCATCTTTTTCATGCATATGCAAATTGGCTGTTGCTTTTATTCACACAAAAATTAACTCATTGTACGTAACTCATTCAGACTAGGAGGAGTGTGCATCAAGTCAGCATTGCTGTGAAACAGTGGGAGAGCAGACCTACATAAGAATGACATGAGCAACGATGGGCAATGAAAAGCAGTGGCAGAGAGCCCCTTTGTCCTGTTTCTACCTGTCAGAGCTGAAGTGTGATATTACAGTAAAATGGGAAACCTATTGGTAGGTGTTACTTTTATCCCTCTTTTGATGGGCCAAGTGGTTTAAATCTGAAGACATTATTAGAACTGAAGAATACAGTTAGTAAATTGATTTTTACAATATTTAGTGTCCAGGTTAATTGATTCGGGATTAGAGAATAGAAATGACTGGGCAAGGTGATGTGTTACAGTTGTAGTATGTGGAAGTTGGTGAATGTCAGTGCAATCCATGGTGATCGTACTGCCGCAAGTATTGGCTACTTGAAGAACTTTGGGTCAGAGTTGGTTAGCTGAAATTCAAGCTGTGACACTGCGCCACACTGGGGAATAGGTTAACTACCTGGACACTGTTTCAAGACACAGCAGTACCCGTGAGATTAATTTAGTTTCTGGTCAGGAACAGTGCATGTGATTGAGTCAGGCAAGTATTGGGATCTTGAAGTTAGCTTTGGCAGAGCCTGAGCCGGTGCCCTTGCTCAATAAATATGAGGTGTGGACAAGGGCATGGACTGCAGAGTGGATGAGCAAACTGACCACAGCACCATGGTCCAGAGGGCCATTCAACAGGGGGGGAGAAAAGAGAAATGTATTAGTAATAAGGGATAATTTAGTTAGAGAAACAGATATTTTTCTCCATTTTACAAAATAGAAAGATTCAAAGGATATTGTGCCTCCTGGTGTCAAAATTCAAGACGTATCTTCTAGGCTGAAGAGGAATTTAGAATGGGATGAACAAAAATAGAAATTGCTGGAAAAGCTCAGCAGGTCTGTCAGCAACTTTGGAGAGAAATAAGAGTTTCAGGTCACAAGACCCTTCCTCAGAACTCGACCCAAAACATTGACTCTTGATTTCCCTCCACAGATGTTGCCAGACCTGCTAAGTTTTTCCAGCAATTTCTGTTTTTGTTTCTGACTTACAGCATCCACAGTTCTTTCGCTTTTTATTTAGAATGGGAGTGGTCCACATAGGTACCAACGAAGTAGGTAGGATTAGGAAAGAGGATGTGCTGAGGAAGTATAACATTGGTTTGGGAGAAATATGTTCTGATTCGTGAGGCACTGGCACTGTAATGGGGAAAGAGAATTATTCCATTGGGATGGATTTAATTTGAACCATACTGAGACCAGTGTCCTACAGATTCTATAATTGCGCTATAGATAGTGTTTTTAAACTAATTAGTTGGGGGGAGGGATTAATTTAAGGGTAGTCAAAGAGTAAAGAGGAATGAGAGAGCAGAGATGCAGGTTGGAGAAGAGGCCAACTATGACAAGTATGACAGCAAGGGGAAGAAAGTATAAGCAGAGGAATACAACAGAAATTAGAACCAGAATAAGTAATAATACCTTTATAGAAAGATGGTTGTAGTTATTGAACGTCAGTCACCTCAGCTGCAGGAAATTTCTGCACAGGTTCCTCAGGGTAGTGTCCTGTGTCCAATCATCTTCAGCTGCTTCATCTTATGACAGAGAGAAGGTCATTGATCAGAAGTAGGGATATTCACTGCACAACGTTCAGCACCATTCATGATATCCAGGTTTGGGCTGAGAAGTGGCAAGTAACATTGTCTGGCATTTGTATGATGTCAATGACCATCTTCAATAAGAGACAACCTAACCACTGCCCCATGGGATTCAGTGCTGGTAACATCACTGAATCCCCCAATATCACATCCTGGGTGTCACCATTGACCAGAAACTCAACTGGACTTGAAATTTAAATACAGTAGTTACAAAAGCAGGTCAGAGGCTAGGAATACTGCGGTGAGTAACTCACCTCCTGACTCCCCAAAGCTTGTCCACCATCTACAAGGCACAAGTCAGGAGTGTGATCAAATACTCGCAACTTGCCTGGATGGGTGTGGCTCCAACAATACTCAAGAAGCTTGACACCATCCACAGCGAAGCAGCCCGCTTGATAGGCACCACATCAATGAGCATCCACTCCCTTCACCACTGATGCTCAGTAGCAGCCGTGTGTACTGTCTACCAGATGCACTGCAGAAATTCGCCAAAGATCCTTAGGCAGCAACTTCCAAACCCACAACCACTTCCATCTAAAAGGACGAGGTGAGCAGATACATGGGAACACAACTGCAAGTTTCCCTCCAAGCCACTCACCACTCTGACTTGGAAACATGTTACTGTTCCTTCAGTGTCATTGGATCAAAATCCTGGAATTCCCTTCCTCAGGCATTGTGGGTCTACCTATAGCACATAGACTGCAGCAGTTCAAGAAGGCAGCTCACCATGGCCTTCAAGAGCAATTAGGAACTGGCAGTAAATGCTGGCCAGCCAGCAATGTCCATATCCCAGAAATTAATTTAAAAATGTCAGACTTTTAGGCTGTTCATTCTAAGTGAATGCAGCATTTGTAACAAGATTACACAAGTAGAAAGATACAAATCTGGTTTGATAGATATTTCAGAGATGTGGCTGGAGGGTATCCAACTAGGAACAGAACATTCAAAGGTATTCAACATCCTGGAAGATTAGACAAAAAGGAATGTAGTTGGGATAGCATTGCTAATGAAGGATGGTATCAATGTGATGGTAAGTAATAATAAAAGTGCAAAGATCATGATGTGGATAAGGAACAGCAACAGAAAGAAATCCAAATGGGAGTCGTCCATGGGTCCCCAAAGACTATGCTCACTGTAGGCCAAAATATAAATTGGAGTTTTCCCCACTGATTCCATCTTTGCTATGACTCCTTAATGTCATACTCTGTCAGTGTTAAAAACCTGGAACACCTTCCATAATAACATCGTCTACCTACAACTCATGGACTGCAGCAGTTCAAAAAGGCAACTCACCACCACCACCTTGAGGGAAAGTAGGAATGGGCAATAAATGCAGGCCCAGCCAGCAACTCCCACATCCCTTGAATGAATGATTTTTTTGAATGGGTGATTTTAATTTGAATATTGGCTAGACAATTCAGACGGGCAAGGGTAATGCAGAAGACAAATCTGTAAAGTGCATCAGGGATTGTTTCTTTGCACAACCTACCCGGGAACAGACTGTTAGATCTAGTAATGTGTAATCAGGTAGAATTAATAAGACATCTCGTAGTTAAGGATCCTCCAGGGGCTAGTGGTCACGCAATGGTAGAATTTCAAATTCAGTTTGAGGAAGAGCAATTCACACTCAAACTTGTGTCCTTGGCTTCAGTAAGAGCAATTACAGACATTTATGAAGAAAGAGATGTCTGAAATTAGCTGGGAAAATAGAGGAAGGGGAAGGTCAGTAGATGAGTTACGGGAGGCATTGAAGTAAATATTTGATAACGCTCAGTAAAATTTTATTTTGGTCGTAAAGAAGGACTCAATGAAAAGGATGCACCACCTGTGGTTAGCAAAGATGATCAAAGAGAATATCCAAAGTGGCAAAAGCTAGTGGTAAGCCAGAGGATTGAGAATCTTTTAGGAACCAGCAGCAAATTACTAGAAAACTAATAAAAAGGGAGAAAATTAATTACAAAAGCAAATTGACAAAAAGTACAGAAATAGACAGCAAGTGCTCCTACAGATATATAAAAAGAGAGTGAGTAGTTAAATTGAGTGTGGGACCATTGGAAGGTGTGAATTGGGAATTGATAACAGGAAACAGGAAAATGGCAGATCAATTACACCAATATTTTGCATTAGTCATCACAGTGGAGGACATGATAAACGTCTCAAAGATATCACAAGCAAGATGCTAATGGAAAGAAAGATCTTGTAACAGTTTCTATAACAAGGAACAAAGTATTTGACAGACTAACAGGACTAAAGGCACACAAGTCACTAGGACGTGAACTGCTAGCATCCAATGATTTTAAAGTGGCTGGAGAGAGAGTGGTTAAAATATTCCAGAACTTGCTGGACTCTGGGAGGATTCCAGCGGATTGGAAAACTGCTAATGTGGCACCCTGTTCCAGAAGGGAGGGGACAGAAAGCAGGAAACTATAGTTCCAAAGAAGAGCCAAACTGAATGTTTTCTGTTTTTGTTTTCAGATTTCTAACATCTGTAGTATTGATCAACTTTTAAAGTTGCAATAATTGACTTGGAGTTTACTGATCATAATTCAAATAGAAGCTTTATTTTTTCTTTTGTTTTTGAAATGTAATTTTTTTTCCTCTTTTAGGTGTCCTTATACCCTACACCATGGCCTGACTGAGGGCAACTGGATAACCTGCTGCCAGGGCTCAGTGCTATTGAATGCTGCTCCGAAACTGGCTGCGTGCATATGTAAGAGCGCTGACCAAGGCAGCTCCCCTTGAACCTTTTTATTTAATGTTTCCATTTTATGTTTGTAAATGATAGCTGCTGCAGATTTGTTGAAGGAAAATTAAGTCTGACAGTTGGTTGAGTTCTGAGCTAATGGAAAGTTGAAATGTTGTGTGGTTGATAATTTCTTCATAGATTCTAAAAAGACTTGGTCAAGTGCCATTTGATGAACTTGTTTGCAAAGTTGAACCCTTGAGATTAAACAGACAGTGGCTTCTTAGGTCTGAGAATCACAGGGCAAAAGGTTGTGTTCTTCAAACCAAAGGAAAGTGTGCAGTGATGCTTGGAGTACTGTTGTTTGAAATTATGCCCTAGTTACTAGAACCAAAATCATTAATAGGTACAAACATTTGTGGACTAAGTCCAATCGTGGCATAGTTTGTGGCCCACATTGTATAGGAAGCCCATTGGATCAAACAATAATCAGGCAGCTGATTAACTGCCAGTAGGCTTTCTACCAAAATAACACACATGGAGTGGGAAGTCCTGCCAGCCCAGGGCTGCTGGCTAATCGGATGTTGCATTGCCAGAACTCAGCAGAGGTTGTAGTTGCTGCAGGGAGAGAACTACCTGGACCTCAGGTGGAGGATCGTCAAAGAGGTAAATGCTGTTTGGGGTGACGAGGGCACAGGCTGTAGGTCTGAGGTCACCCTCTTGCCCTAAGGAGAACCACTCAATTTTGCACAAATTGCTTCAGATTGAAAGATACCTATACCCTACAGCCCTTCTCAAAACAGCCTGACTGCCTGCCCTCACTGGTTTCATACTTATTAGGCTGTCTCTTCCTTGTCCTACCTGGAGCTGCAGTAATCTGCCCAGATAGGATGAGGCCTTTAAATGGTTGTTAATTAACCATTTAAAGGCTTCCATAGGCAGCCGGGTCAGGAAGGTTGACCATGAGTCTTCCCACCTGCAAATTAACACCCTACTTCCTGTCACCAGGGAAGTGATCTTTCCAGTGTTCTCCCACTCAATTATTTGCTCTTCCTGTCACCTTCCTGTCCTTTCTTGGGAGGGGAAGATCCAAGCCGATGATTGACAGGCTTGGGGCTACAAATTTGACTTGGATGATGCAAAGTGAACAGTATCAGACCAGTTGCTCATTGTCCTGAATTTCTAATATTTAATTCCATTGACTGCAAAGAAACTGAATGCCAGCCACAGTATATAGTGGGACCACTATTAAACCACTCATTTTGCGCCACCATCCAGGATGAATTTCTAGTTCTTCTTGTGTAATTGCAACACTTGGTGTAGTACTGAGTTATAGCACCAACTTTAATCTCTGGCCCGCTGACTGGCCTGGCTGCCTCTGAAATATGAGAATAGAAAGTTCAGCCATGCTTCCTGCTCCTGATTGTGATCCTGTGACCCAGCTTGCACACTTGTGTGTTAGATAGGGGTAGGGTTGACCTGAGCTCCACTGCGTGTCACTTTGCAGTGGGATGTGCCACTGGACACTTGCTGTCTAGTCTCAGGCTTGGGTGAAGGAAGGTCAGCAGCCTTGGAGTAGAAAGTGGAAGAGACATAGAGAAGTAAACAATATAAATTAAATGATTCATACATTCATTCAGAACCGAATTGTCAATGTTTTGACATTCTTTTATTGCTTTGTAAGATAGGCAACATAATTTTAGTTATTATACTCTGTTTTATCAGTATTGGCCCATCAACACTGAACAGCCATGGCCCTGGTCACACTTGACTGTAAAATATTTATTTTTAATAAAAATATTTTGATGCTTTTACCTTGGTTTTTTTTTAAAATCCTTTTCCCTGGTCTTCACACTTATTTGGGAACTTGGTTTGTTTTCTGTGCCCCTTTCACCAGTGCCATACAATGCTGTTCAGCAAAGAGCAGAAGTAAACCCGTCCAGAATACTGTTCTGTTGCTTGTTGCTCCAAGATAGATGAAGCAAGGCACAAGGATTTGCATCCCTTTGTGACAGTGAGGGTTGATGCCTTGACAGACTAATCATCATCAGGAAGTCTGTACCATATGAATTTTCTAATTAATCTGTCCAGAGATGATATTACACACCTCTGGAGCAATTGGAACTTGAACCTGGGTCTCCTGCTCCAGAGGTAGGGACACCAACACCAATAGCCCTTTCAGTACCATGGTCACATGCACTGCTAACCCTCCTCGTTCAGTATTCTCCCTATATAAATGACAGGATGCAGAGGCCAGGAGGTGTTACCTTGGAAATTAAAAAATGAATATGATTGAATAAATACACGCTGAAGTGTCAACTTGTGCAATGCCAAAGAAACACATTTGCAATGATACTTCTTTGTTTGTGAAGCACTTTGGGAATAGCCAAGTTCTTTTCTATAGGGTGGGGGAGTCCAAAACTAGAGAACTTAGGCTTAAGTGGGAGGGAAAAGATTTAAAAAGGACCTGAGAGGTAACTTTTTCATGCAGAGGGTGGTGCATGTATGGAATGAACTGCCAGAGGAAGTGGTGGAGGCTGGTACAATTACAACATTTAAAAGACATTAGGATGGGTATATGATTGGGAACAATTTAGAGGGATATGGGCTAAATGCTGGCAAATGGGACTAGGTCAGATTGATGTCGGGTTGGCACGAATGAGATGGACCAAAAGCTCTGTTTCTGTGCTGTATAACTCTGGTTAATAACATAAACTGTTAACTTATCTTTTTGTTTTCTCATGCCCCCAGGCTATTCTGATTTATCTTTGTTTTCTTCACTCCCTTTTTCTGTGTTTGCCATCTCCACCCTTTCGAAGCAGTGAAGATACAGAAAGAGAAGGGTGACCAGAAAGAGAAGGGTGACGAATGGAAAAGCAAGGAATGGGGAAATTTAATAGGAGCACTGACCATTGAAATATCAATAAATTGAGCAGAAAGATTGCAATGAGTACTTCTGATTTTAGAGTTGAGACCCCAGTGATCCAGTGCTCATTTGACCTATCTGGAGATGTGCTAGAGGTATCAAATTTCCCAGATCAGAGAACTGATTCGAAGTCTTGAACAGACTTGGACTTTATGGAGCATAAAATAGACCTTTGAATTGAAAGGAGGAATTCAGTGACATGGAGGCAGCTGCACGGATAGTGGAAAGATGGGCATGAATAGACCGAGCAGGAACATCTGAATTAAGGACAAGGCCAAATACAAATATTTTAAAGATGCAGAAACAATAGGTTTAGTTGTCTGGCAAAATTTGACTGTCAGAAAAGTCCAAAAATCAAATAATGGATCAAAAGAGTTTGAGTACCAGGTTGTGGATTTCAAATGTTTCCAAGTGTAATCTCTATCCTACCAGATGCAAGATATTATTGTGTACCATTGTTCCTAGAATGTGGTAAGACCAGCATTGCCTTTTCCTGTTGATTGGCTGCACTCCCTTTGCTGATGCAATACAGTAAGATACACTGCTTTTCTGAATTTCATCCTTGGTGTACAGGGCTCAATTTCATAATTTGCGGATGATACAAAACTCAAAAACTTTGTGATGTGTGAGGGGGATAGTTGTAGAAATTCAAAATGATATAAACAAGTTGGAGGAGTGGGCAGATAGGTTGCCAAGAGACAGTATAAAAGGGCACAAATCTAAAGAGAGTACAGAAGCAGTGGGACCTGAACTCACTCATTTAAATGTCAGTAAATATGTTGGACAAGTGGACAGAGCTGGTAATAAAGCATACAGTATCCTAGCCTTTTATTAATAGTGACATTTGTACAAGAGCAAACTTGTACAAGACAATAGTTTAGCCTCAGTTCTGGGCACTTCACTTTAAAAGGGATCTGAAGACATTGAAGAGAGTATAAAAGAGGTTAATGAGAATGGTTCCAGGATGAGGGATTTGTTATGAAGGTAAATTGGAGAAGTTTGGCCTGTATTCCTTAGAGAAAAAAAGGCTGAGAGGTGATCTGATTGAAGTATTTAAAATTTGTAAAAGGTTTGGACAAGAGGAAATAGAAAATGTGCCAACCTGTGAAAGAATTGAGGACAAGAGGGCAGAGATACAAAGTCACTTGTACAAGCAGCAAAAGTGATATGATGAAAATCTTTTTCACGCATCAAATGGTTAAGGTCAGGAAGGCACTCCTAAGAGTGTGGTGGAAGCAAGTTAGTCGAGAAAATTGGAAGGGAATTAGAACAAAAACAAAGAACAATACAGACAGGAACAGGCCCTTCGGCTCTTCAAACCTGCGCTGACCCATTTTGCCCTTCCATACTAAAACTGTCTTTACTTACAGGATTCGTATCCCTCTATTCCCTTCCTATTCACGTATTCATCCAGGTGCTTCTTGAATACTGCTATTGTGTTTGCTTCCACCACCTCCACTGGCAACGTGTTCCAGGCACTCACCACTCTGTGTGGAAAAACATGCCTCGCACATCTCTTTTAAACTTCCTCCCCCTCACACCTTGAACCTGTGTCCCCTAGTAATTGAAGCCTCAATTACTAAAGCCTCATACTTTCCACTCTCGATGCCATTCATAATCTTCAAAACGTATATTAGGTCGCCCCTCAACCTCTTGTATTCCACTGAAAACAGACCCAATCTCTCCAGCCTTTATTCATAGATGAAATCCCCTATACCAGGCAACATCCTGGTAAGTCTTTTCTGTACCCTGTCCAAAGCATCCACATCTTCCGGTAAGGTGGTGACCTGAACTGTACGCAATATTCCAAGTGTAGCCTAACTATAAAACTGTAGCATAACTTGTCTATACTCAGTGCCCCTTCCAATGAAGGCAAGCATGCCATAAGCCTTTTTTACTACCTTATCTACCTGTGCTGCCACCTTCAGTGATCTGTGAACCTGCAAACCCAGATCCCTCTACATATCAACAGAGGGTTCTGCTGTTCACTTTATAATTTCCACCTAAACTTGCCCTTCCAAAATGCGTCACCTCACATTTGTCTGGATTAAACTCCATGCACGATTTTTCTGTCTATGCCTTCAACTGATCTATATATCTA